TTTGCGGACTGTACATACATATATTCGACAATCATTTATTGTTATTATGTGCATACAGGTTTGTCCAATGTATGTATATGTATACAATATATGTATATCAAAATATATATACAATTTATGCAAGTTACCTAAATTTCAAAACTTTAATTATAACGACCACTAATAACTCAAGTAATTTAAATGACTAAATCAAATGATATTTAAAATCAATTGTCAATTTTAATTGTTCTATACAATTTTAAAAATATCTGAATAAAAAATCCTTTTTTAAGTATTTTTTATAAAATCTTTGAGGCTTCAATGGTTTCAAATTTATTTTTATACAACACGGTGCATAGTTCAGAAAAATGTCTACATGGCAATAAAGCGTTTAATTTTTTAAGTTGAAATTATATTTAGCAATTTAAAATAAGATTATCGTTTGCTTTCAAAAACAGTAAGAAATTGAGTTTTATAGAATTTCGAACAAATATTAAAATGAACTTAAATGACTAAATTGTTATAAAACTTTGTTTTAACATAACTAAGTATAAGAACTCATAAAATAATAATGTTAGGCTGGAGTAATATCTAACAACATAAAAAAATATATTCATACTTGTCTTAATTTTATAGCTAAATTTCTTAAATAAAACGTTCAAAAGCAAGCGACGTTATGCATCTTAATCCATGGAAAGACACAGCCTTGAGAGTGTCTAACTTACATACACATAACGTCTGCACATACATACATTTCTTGTAAATACACACATTTATATGTTATTTATACTTACGCACATGCATAAAATGTATATACATACGTATAATGCAAGTACATACACACAAATTTGTTCATACATAACACGTTTTTTTGACGATGTATGTAAATATGTGAGTACATGAATATCAACATACAATGCCCGTTCTAACCATGTGTACATGTCTGAAAATACTTTTTATATGCATAAATATGTACATGTATGTATAACTAAGCTCTAACGTATAATTCACGTACATACTATGAATGTACTTGCGTGTATAAATACATGCATACGTACATACATCTACTGTCCATACATACGTACCTACAAAGTAACATACATGTTTGCATCTATATTACTTGCAAAATTAAGTACGCAAAATGTAGATACAAATAACGTTTGTACATACATTGCATTTACTTCTGTACATTAATGCATAGATCTTATATGCATACGTACGTTAATACATGCACATGCATTCATACAAATATTGAAGGGGTTTAAAATATATCTATGTACGAGAAAATTGTAGGCATGCTACGTATATACGTCTATATGCATACAAACTTACATGCCTTCCTCCATATTATTGAATTGCATTTATACGTCCGCTCTACGTATATAAAAATGCGTTAATACATACATAAAAACTGAATTAACATATAGTATTAATAGTAAGCATATAGTATGTAATCGTAATTACTTGTAATCGCCCTATGATCTTATTCGTGTTTCTATGTACGTATTTCAGTATATAATTCTGTGTTTAAAAGTTTTCATTTAATAAACCAAACAATAGTAAACTAAACAGTTTATTTACTTATGTAATTTATGTATTGTTTCAATAGTATTCAATTACCTACAATCCCGATTACAAATGTAATCAAGCACACTTGAAATTATGATTACATCTAATCATGTTGTAATTATAAATATCACAATTTCTTAAATTAAAGATTACCTGCAATTGTTAGATAAACTTGTAGTTATGATTTCTTGTGATAACTTGTAGTTATGATTTCTTGCAATTTTACTTTATGATTACAAGTAGTCAGGATGACTAGCAATCCCAGGGTTTGATTATTTATCATTCTGATTGTCTGTAATCACTTTTCATAATCGCTTTAAATTAGAAATAGTAATTATTTGTTACTTATTGTATGTAATTACTATTGTATGTAATTACTATCGTATCGTAATTACTTTTAATTATGATCATTACAAGTAGTTGATTACTAAGCAATTATAATCTATAATTAATTACATTTGTATTTGATGCACAACTTGGTATGAAAATGACGTTTTTTGCTATTTATTCAATATTTTACTCAGAAAAATTAGTCATGATTAATGAATTTATTCATCAATTTTTATACAAAACTTTGCATAAATTTGCATAATGAATGATAAATAATGACTAAATTTGTAAATGAATTCACCGTCAATCAAATATTCAGAAAGAATTTATTCTGACTAAATTTAGACATGAATAAAATTTCCTTGAATGATGCCCAGCACTAATATTTAGCTTCCTAACCCCTCAATTTATGATTTTCCGAAATTTCGTCTTGTCCTCTGATTTGATGGTCAGGAATCCAAAAATGTAAAAAAAAAAAAAAAAATATGTTTATAAAAATATAATTATTATATTTAATTATTATTTAGTTATAATTAAAAAATATAATTAATAATTAGTTAACATATTTGAAGTCAGCCCCTGGAATTAACACTTAGTATATGAAATTCCGATCATTAGGACAAAAGTTATTCAGTATAATATCTTTTCCTTTTTTGCTCACATACAGTATACATATTTTACAACTGGCCATAGTAAGGAAAGTAAATGTAGAAGTACATTTATACACACAAATATTATTTGTGAAAGCTTTGTATTATTTTTGTAATTGAGGTTTGCCTAAGAACTTACACGAACAATATATAGAACACATCTTATCTTTGGGTTAGCTTTTATATTTTCCCTAGTTTTTTCTCTTTTTTGTTTTTTTAAAAATTCACTGATTTTTCTTATAAGTTTTTTTTTCTATCCTAAAAGAGAATAAATGAAAATCTAATTTTTCCTCATATAACTTTGCATTCGATACTTGTACAGATGTTTGTGTAAGCTTTTTTATAAAAATTAAGATAAAGAGGAAACGATGTCAATTAATTTCGAAGACACTTGACAAAACCTGGCTGAAATCTTTTTATTTTCCCAAAAAGCTGCAGATATTGTTTTTCTATTTTAATATTGAATTAAACGACATATTGCGAGATCTTGAAGCTATTCTCTCTACAGAAGATGGGCAACAACTGTTGATTTGAAGGGAGAAAAAGAGGAGAAAAATAAACTTGAATTCTTGAAGTTTGAATGCTTATTTCTACCAACCGTCAATCAAATATGTTAAGCATAACAATTAAGAAATGTTTACCAAATGATGCTGCAGGTGTTTACAAAAACATACACTACTTATATATTCAGTTTGTCATTTCAGAATTCACTATTTTTTGTGCAGACGGTTATTTTTAAAGAAGCAGCTTCTTGAAGGAAAATGACGATTATTTTTTGCCTCTTTCTTCTCTCGACTCTGCCCATTTTTTCATTGTCGAGTGAAAATAGCATTTTTTTAAATCGTTTAAGGAGAGATGCGAAGATAAACAAAGCTGAACTGAAAGCGAGAGCGGAAAAATGCAAATCTATGGGAATAGCATCTGGAGAACTATCAATGGGTGGAGATTATTTAAGCAATGCAGGTGATGTCCTAAATGCTGCCCCTATCGTTGGACAATTTATGAAAGCTGGTTGTTCAGCTCTGGCTAGCGTCTTCTACCTGAAAAAAAATAGGTTGAATCTAGCTGCAACTGCGATGGACTGTAATCAAATTCCATTCGATGAGATTAAAATTCAAATCGATGAAAAGCACTAATTANACCAAAACAAGACTATCTGCTTCAACTCTTAAGGGTTGATGATGATAATGTAAAAAAACATTTGGGAGACATTAGAGATCCAACTGAAATGTGGACGAAATTACTAATGCTTTTTGATACTGTAAATAGTTTGTTGGAAAACGGAAAAGATGTGCCAATATCAGCAATCGATACGATATTGCGGGGAACGCAAACTTATTCCTCTGTCATGAGTTTTCTTATTCAAGTACATATATATCTCGCAAATTATCATTATCAACAAGGTAATTTAGACGACTACAATAATGAAATGGCCAATATTGACAATGTATATACAAAATATTCGAACATTTTAATTCATAGAGATAAGTCTATCATTGGATACGCCGAAGATATATTATCAAAAGTACCTTCGAATCCAGTTTATTATGAAAATAATTTTTTATCCGATTCGACGAAACTTCTTAATGATTTAACGTATGAAATTTTAAACTTTAATGTAACAATATTAAGGCCCGTTAATGACATGTTTATATCATTTGAAGCGATTTCTAACGAGACCGAATATCCTAGGTGTGATTGTACAATAAAATACGCTTTGCAATTTAAGAAAGAAGGAGTTTATTCGAAAATCAGTCAATGGACAACACCATCCAGAATAGAGAAAAAAGGTTATCTGACCCTAAGAATACCAATTGATACGGAAAACAAGCGACTCATTTTTCGTCAGATAGGGGATAATAAAGCAGAGTTAGTAGGAATGGTCAATACTTCACAAACTCGTTTTTGGGATATCAATAGGGATCTTTACAATGCTGTGAAAAATCCATTGGAGGAAGAAGCTATGAAAGAAGTAGAATTATACAGGAAACATGGTGCTGATATTAAGGCGACATTTGAATACGGAAGAAGTGCTATTCACGAAGCTGTTCTAGCCGGTCATACAAATTTAGTACAATATCTACACGAAAAAGGAGTTGATATTAATATGGCAGATGATGAAGGTTACACTCCCTTGCATTTAGCCGCTGAAGCTGGTAGAAAAAATGTTACTAAATATTTGGTGAGTATGAGAGCAAGGAAAAGAGCAATAACCAAAATGGATTTACTGACACCGTTACATCTTGCAAGTAAAAATGGATATTCGGAGCTATTACAACATTTAATTAATAAGAAAACTGTAAACGGAAAAGACAAATTCGGATTCACACCTCTTCATGCAGCCGTCAAAGGAGGAAAAAGTGTTATGAATTTTTTTCTCATGAAAACAAATTTTAATCCAAATGTCAATGCGATGTCTGAATTTCGTAAATTTACTCCATTACATCTTGCAGTAATGAAAGGAGACCTGGAAGTTACACAAGTTTTAGTTAGAAACAATGTGACACACTTGAATGCTAGAGACCTTGATGGCCTTGCTCCTCTTCACTACGCAGCACTTGCTCTTCCGTCAGAAAAAACTATTGCGATCGTCGAAGAATTACTTAATGCAAAGGAAAAAATTGACCCAAATGCTGAATGTAAGAATGGTTGGACTGCTTTGCACTATGCATTATTTAAAAGGAATACAGATGCAGCTTTAAAACTGGTAAGAAATGAAAAAATCGATTTATCGTTGCGTCTTGATGGAAATGTCACTTTTTTGCATTTAGCAGTATCGGCTGGACAAAAGGAAGTTATTCCCAAGTTGCTCGAAAAAAACATCAATATTGAAGCTGAAACAGAGGATGGATACACAGCACTTCACTTAGCAGCTATGAGAAAAGAGTCCGAAACTGCTTATAAGTTAGTTGAAATGGGGGCAAATATCGAAGCCCGTACCAAAAACTATTCCACCCCATTGCATTATGCGGCTTCGGCAGGCAGAATTAAAATAGTACAAGATCTTTTGGAAAAGGAAGCAAGTATGCTGGTTCGTAACAAAGAAAAGCGATATCCGATCCATGAGGCGGTATCCCATGGTCATTTAGATGTTACGAAACTGTTTATTGAAGAAGATATCAACATTGTGTATGAGAAAGATATCACTGGCAAATCATCTGTGGACATAGCTATAGAGAATTCATATAACGATATTATTATTGAATTTGTAGATAAAGGACTTAATTTGACTGGGCTTTACGGGGAAGGAAGACCACTTTTGCATACTTTCGCGAAGATTGGAAACATTGAAATGGTGCAATATTTTCTTAGTAGAGGTGCAAATGCTAATGGCTCAGATTTCGAGAATAAGACGTTTTATGACTTGGCTGTTGAAAATGGTCATAAAAACATTGTAGAATTCATTTTTGAGAACGAAACAATCAGTCGTCCACAATTGGACGAAGTTTCTTGCAAAGCCATTGCTTCTGGTCAGCTGGATATTATAAAATATTTAATAGAGCAGAGCGAAATATCATGCGATCCATTACAAACTGCAGCTTCAGAAGGTCAACTGGAAATTGTAGAATATTTAGTTGAAGAAGCTGCTTACCATGTAAGCGAGAATAGAAACGGACAAACGGCTTTGTGTAATGCAATGGAAAAAGGACATTATGATGTCGTCAAGTATTTAGTTAGTAAAGGAGCGGAGATAGATGGAGACTGTTCCATAGGTTCAAAAGAGTATACTCCATTGATTTATGCCATTGAATATAAGAATATGGAAATATTTACATTTTTTGTTAGCCGTATTTCTGATATCAACAGAAAAGATATATTTCAAAATACTCCGTTGTATTACAGCTCTTCACTTAACTGCTTAGAATGTGTCATGCATTTAATCGAAACAAAAGAAAGAACTATTAATCTAAACGCACTGAATTCCAATAATAAAACTGCATTGGAAGCTGCCTATGAAAAACAAAATCTTGAAATTAGTAAATACCTCCAAGGACTTGGAGTTACTACTACGACTGCTGCTACAATTACGACTACTTCAGATTCTAGGTGCGTTGGTCGTCTCGACTGTGGATAGAGTAGCATATTCCAGGCTCCTACTCTATCATGAATGGACAAACATCTTCTGGATTACTTTTCCTTTATTTATCTCTTTTATTTATATTAGAACTGCTTAATTTTTTTTTCTTACCTGAGTTAATAATTTAAAGTCTGGAAATATAATTTAAGTAAATGATAGAATTGCCCCAGAAAATTTTCTTCTGATTGTAGCATTTTTTCTAAATTTTTAAATTCTGAAAGGAATCAGTAATCAATATTGATATAAATTTATACCAAAGAAAGTGTTTGACAAATAAAATATACTATACAAACGCGCAATTTGTTGAATAATTGTAAACAAATTCTCTATACTTTTCCTACAAAAAATCTTTTGTTTGCTTGTGCAGTTTAACAGTACAGATTGTTTAAGCAGTGCAAGTCAGTTTTATATTAAGAAATAGGATTTTTTCACCAGTGCTATGTTTGTAAAACAATCTGTGTTTAATAACTTTTAATACATATGTATTTTTAAAAAATATGTTTATTATAAATATTGTTAAAATATAGTTTGTTTTTCATATGTCTTTACGAAAGTGTATAATATTTTATTTGTGTTGATGTTATAAATACTCAATTCAAAATAATATTTATAGTGAAATTATTTTGTACATTAAATATCCAAATAAAATATTTTACTTCATTTTGTCTTAAGTTTTCTGTAGAAAACAAAAATGTTATAATTAGTTTAATATTTTAGATTGCAATATATAAGATTATCGAGATTCAAACAAAAATTGCCTATGTACTTAGTTTGAAAAATGTATTATTTGATTTGTTTTCTAAATTTCAGACAATAGTTTATTGTAGTCTAATCTTTATTAGATGTAATTAAATCTGTTAGAATAGTTAGTTGCAATTACTACTTTTTAGAGTGTCATTTGAAAATAAAGTTCAATTACAAATTTTTTCTTATCTTTGAAATTTTTATATAAAACATTGCCATTAACCTTAAAAACTGTTATGGTGTTATTCTGATTTTTATTAATTTTGGAGCGTTCAGACTATTTTCTATTATTAAAGTTATAGTAATTTCATTTAATAATTTCAAGTAATGTGTGGTTCCAAAAGTTCACTAGTTCAGCCTAATTAATCATTTACATTTTGATTATATACAGGGTGGCTATTGTTACAAATATCAAATCATTTTATTATACACATATTAAATAGAGAACAGTGAATACACAAATATGATGAACACTATAAATAGAAGTTTACATTCAGAAATTTTATATGAATCGACCACCATTTTTATTCATTAATAAAGATAGATAATCTCTCACACCATAGTCTGATGGCAATATCCCAGAAAGCATGTAACCTTACGACAACCTTGTGTTTTAACTTTATTTTCATTGTCACGAAAAGGTTTGCGGTAAAAACCTTTTTTCAATGACGTAAAAATATTGCAATTTCCAACCTTTCCTCCTTAAAGGAAAAGTAAATGATTTTTAAATCTTTTTTAAAAATATTGTTATTTAGGTTAAAAAACAAGCAAATTGTAAGCATTTTTGTTTTCTGTCATGGTTAGGTTAGCAGAAATATTAAGCGAAAACCTTTTTCAAGGGAAACGAAATAAAGCAAATATTAACCTTTTCAGCGTAAATATTAATAAATAATAAGAAAATATTTTGCAAAGGACCTCATTTAAAGGAAAGCGAATAAACGAGCATAAGACCATGATTTTGGATTTTTTTTTATGGTCTGCGAAAGTACAATACGAAAACTTTTTTTAAAGGTTTCTTGACACAAGTATAAATAATAGTTTTTTTTTTTCAGAAACTTTTCATTCGAACAATCTTACTAAAATAATAAATAAAATTTTAAAAAATTTGAATTTGGAGTTTAAAATTGACTCTTCAATATTTTTTTACCTGTTTTTTTTCTTCTCGAATTTGGCTTTAGGGGTCGTCCTATGCGTTGCGGTTCCTTTAAAATGTGTGGCCTTCTCTCGTTCATTTTACCTTATTGCAAACCTAATTATGGTATAGCAATAAAATATTCGCGCGAAGAGAATTTTATTTAAAATATTTATGTACAGAAAAAATTCGCCCGACAGTCTATTGTGAGCTAGAGGGTCATCAATATTATGACTCCGCGATTTATGACTAACGAGGAGTGATGGTGAAAATAAAATCAGCATTGTGCAACTACCGCCTTTATTTCCCTGACAAGCTGGTACCCGCTCTAAACCTGGGTGAATTCAAAACCTAGACCCACAGTTTTTTTCATCATATCTTTGGAGTGAATTTAAGAACATTTTGTTCACAGAACTCGATGCATAGTGTGCAAAATAAAAGACAGACCACCCTGAATAGAGAATAGATTTTGATCTAATGATTGAATTTTCACGTTTTATAACTCAATCTTAATTTTTCGAATGGGTGATCTCAAATATGCTAATTAATTAGTGTAGGCGATTATTTAAGTTACGAAATTAAACACAAAAATGTGTTTTCTCTGAATAAACATACCTTTTTTCCGACGGATTCAGATTTTGAACCCCCAAAATATAGGGGGTAGCCACAATCTTTGGAATATTGTCCCTATAGTTTGATCATGAGGGTGATCCAAAGTTTGGATGCCTCTATCTTAATTTTATATTTTGCATATTTCGCCATACAAAGAGATCTTTTTAAGCGAGTTAAAAAAAATTTGAACATAATTTTAAAATTCGTTTATCCAAAGATAATGGCATGCAGAAAATAAACTTTAGTAAATATTTATTATTTTTTATTACGCTATTAAATAATAGCTGTAAAATTTTTGAACTATAAGGCATACAACTTTTTATACAATTTTTATGTACGTAATTTTACTTGTCAAAATACAAAATCGAGCTAAATCGATCGAATTGTTCCTATATATATTTAAAATTCAATTTCTCAGAAACTATTCAACCGATTATGCTCAAATTTTGCTTCTTGTCACGTGAAATTACATATTTTAAAAGGATGTAAAAATTTTATACCTCTCAATTTAAATTTTGTCACTGCTGTGAAAGATTTTCTCGAAAAAGTTCATAAGTTAGCAGGTATGTAAATGTTCAACCATTCCTGAAATTTTTCAGCAGTTTTTTCGTGTCAAGAATTTTTTCTAAACATTATCGATAAAACACTGTTGAAAATAAAAATTTAAAATAAAAAAAATGTAAAAGGAACTAATATAAATAAAAACAAGTTTTTCTGAAGGAGGGGGNTATCGGCAAAACACTGTTGAAAGTAAAAATTTAAAATTAAAAAAAAATGTAAACGGAACTAATTTAAAGAAAAATATGTCTTTCTAAAGGGGGGGGGGAGGCTAAAAGTCTGTTTAATTAAATTTTAATTAAGTCGTTCAAAAAATCGGAAGATAGTATTTTAAATCTGTTCTCTTTCTTTTAACGTCTTATTTGAATTATCAAACAAATATACGTCTAAAATACATAAAATTAAAATGGAAAAGCAATAAATAAAATTTTAAACGAAGTTCTTTTAAAAACTAGAAAAACTTCTATTAGCCTTATTGTACCGAAACTTTGAGGCAATGCTTAATGTTCAAACTTCAATATTCTTATTCAATTAAAAATAATAATAAAAATAAAAGAAAAAAAAAAAATAATCTCACTAAATTTAACTTTTGAAAATTATTGTAAACCCCAGATTCTACTCCCTCTCAAAATACTGTCTTAAAAACTGCTGCTTACGTCATGCACAACTTTGCACTAATATTACGGCTGCTGATCATTTACACTTTTGGAGTTTACTTGCGTGATAAAAGTTTGAAATTGAAGTTTCTTAATGATATTCTGTTTTATTGTTCCAAGTTTAAGAAATTTCCCTTTCGTTGATCTAAAAAGTAGGTACACGGTTTAATTGCATTTCATCTGCCCTATTAAATATTTAATTTACGCATTGTTACATGTTTTCTTAAGATTATCAATTAAGATTAACTTAATTTAAAACTTAAATTTATGCTTGGAACGGGCTTACCCAAAGGACATTAAATTGTCATTATGTTCCCTTCTTAATTTCAGTAAGTTTCAAGTAAACACTGAAACATAATTTAAATTTAATTATCAATACTATCAATTTATTACTGTTATTACTATTTTACCTTAATTTTTTTTTTTTTTTTTTGATGAGTGAGATGCCGATAGATTCAAGCAAATAACATTTACAATACATTTATAGTAATTATAAAAAATGAAAATTAGCACTAACGCGTTGTGACCGTTTATTATAAGGCATGGGATATGTATTTAGGATGATTGACAATGATAGCACTAATATTGATCACTTATAACATAACAATAACTTTATTCACAATACCTACATAGAACACATCAACAAAAGAACATACTGGAAATCGAAACTGAAACATACAATGTAAACACAGTTGCAGTTACATCACAACCGCGATACTAGCGCCAGTGGAATTACATGAAAGATCCCAACATAACGTTAGTTAGATTTACATTAATAACAAAATATAGCTGGACAAATAAAAATAATATTTCAGAAATTGAAGATTTATCCATATTAAAAAGTTTTATGAGGCTCCAGACTACTTATCAGGATTTTAAAATAGAAACTGTGTATTACTATAATTTGATTCTGATTTTTGCTAAACGTAGCATTTATAATATTTTCTTAACCCACTTGTGTACACCACGAGTGTATCCATGGCTAGAAGATTGTACCTGTAATTTCGGTAACTTTCCGATTAGCTTAAGCACTTTTAATTTCAAGACAGGATAATACATGTTTTATTCGTTTTCTAATCACCATAAGTAGAATTGATTGCTTATAGGAATAATTGTGATTCAATTTGATATTGGAATTCATTTGAGAAATTTGATCTCTATAATTGATCAAAAATCGTGGAATACTGTCAAGTTTCGAATGATGGCCATAAAAAATTTTGTGACCAGTACTAAGACTCCCTAGTTCAGTTTGTTTTAGGCGATAGTTTGGGTTCAACATGGAAGATAACGTGATCGATTGTAGCGGCTCTTGGGTACTAATTGATAGATTGCTTCTACCGCAAAATTTTCGAAACTTGAATGTAGTTTATCTATTGATTCGATTTCATACTTATGTATAGTGCGAAACAAAATTGCTCGTCTTAAA